GGGGGCGCAGGGGGATTACCCAATAGCGATAGCCTTAGAGGGCTGCGCCATTTACTCATAGAAGCTGGGGTTACAGTAGGTAACCTCAGATACTGCTAGTGCTAATAGTGCTAGCGGGCTTCAGCCGCGCCGTGTGTAAATTTGACCTGAGCGAAGGCTCGCAGGCAGGTTAGCTGCTGCGCACGGGTAATATGTTTTGTTTACCTGAGTGTAGTCTTGCAGGCACATCGCCTTGTCTTTTTTTAGTTTATTAACACTGACAGTGTATTAATGTGAGCTCCTACACCTATAATAATTTGGCCTTTCATTGAATGCTTTATAAACCAGTTAAACTTAAAGATGTCATTGTGAATTGGAAAACTGCATTTAAATGTTGTTAAAGGTCAACGTTTCAATGTGTGGTTCAGCAATTGTTGGTCGTTTACTAGGAATTTACATATTTTAAGCTCAAATACTTTGTTCTATGTTTAAACCTTCAGACACATTTTGACGTGTTTCAGTTCAGCACATCATTTATTTTGTGATGATTTAAAAGTACAATCCAGAATAATATACGTACTCGCCTTTATCTTTTTGCCATCTTAGCCTTTTGACCAATTTCTTCATATCACAGTTTTGCATGATGTCACTGTAGGACAATGTTTTAAGGATTACTTGTCGAGCTACGTTGTCAGTTTGAAATGTCTGGATGAAGATGTAATTGATTTACAAATGTTAAATGCCTCTTTTCATCCTCTGGTGAGGGAAAACCCCAAAAAGGATGATAGGGCGAGCCAGGCCCCTTTAAGTTATTTTATTTATTTTTGTCTGCTTCTGAGAAGCTAATGTATAAGTTATACAGTTATTTATGCAAGAAAATTACAATAAAATGACTGTTTAATCTTCACATCTTGTATTCATGTCTATAATTTTGAGCACCAAATTATTGAAAAGTATCGAAAAATACCGATACCGATATAAGCAGTACCGGTATCGGTATCGATAAAATCCTAACGATACCCATCCCTAGTCCTAGCTATATTGTCTGCAGTTCTGGGGTTAATATTAATCTAATATGATTGTCATCGGTCTAAATTAGATTTCAAATGATTAACTGTGTATGTAATGAAGATCATAGTGTGGGTTAAATCCATTTTCATAACCACTGTCTTTTAACTGATGCGGAAATGCAGAAACTGGGCTTATTCATCAGAATTTCATATGACTTGACTTGATTTGCTTGCTTGACTTGCTTGACCTGAGCAATGACTTGACTTGCTTGACTCTCACCACAGTGATTTGGGACTTGCTTGATACTTGCTCGTGACTTGCACATGTAGGACTTACTTACACACGGCATCTATTGCACGTCTGTCCGTCCTGTGAGAGGGATCCCTCCTCTGTTGCTCTCCCTGAGGTTTCTCCCATTTTTTCCTTTAAACTGGGTTTTCTCCAAGTTTTTCCTTGTACGATGTGAGGGTCTAAGGACAGAGGGTGTCGTATTGTCATACTGATATTCTGTACAAACTTTGAAGTCCACTGAGACAAATGTAACATTTGTGATATTGGGCTATATAAATAAACATGGATTGATTGACTCCCACCTCTGGCGCACACACACCCTACAGAGGATATCATGTATTGCACTTGTGGTGCAGACCACTGTTTCTGTCAGGGCTATCTAAATATATAAATATTTTAAGACTTTGGTTTAGGGAAAAAGTTTACTGTAACCTTCTGAAAGGGTGTCTGACAGCATTTCTTTCCTCCACACCACGTCTTCTCTGTCTACCCTGCACCTACCTGTTGTTCATGAAGCCACATAATAAACCGTGTTAGTACAGTTAATAGCCTACAGTTATTACAGTTCCTACAGTAAGCAGTGTTTGCCTGTTTGCTGCTCCACCTTTAGTTCAGGCCATTCAGTGCCTGAGGTAAAGTAACTCTACCTCTTCACCCTCTCCCCAATCTCTTCCTAAAGCCAAATGAGCCAATACAGAATAAATGTCTATTAGATCAAACACATGCAGGCAGTGGCTTTATCAGCCCTCAGCAGGAGGCTTATGGAACTACTAAATTGGGGAAAAATATAACTTTTAGGCCATGTTTTAAGTGCTAAATGAAACGTAAAATAAAAAATGAATCAACAAGAATTGGATTAATTATTATCCTTCATTGTCTTATACCAGCTTCTCCAATATGACAATGTGCGTTTTTTTTTATGAAAATGTAGGCCTCATATCCGTGGGTGCAACCAACACATTTGAATACATATTTAGGATAACTGTAACAACTTTCTTGTTGCCCCACCTCAGTTTCAAATTTAAAATTCAAAGGTTATAGTCATGTCCTAAACAAAACTACGGTGTAGTGTGTAATGAATGAACAACTTGGGTCACAGGTTCCTCAACAATGCAATTACAAGACATAAAAAAAGAAAAGTGTAATAATAAATTAATAATAGTGCGAGCTCGGGTGTTTAATAGTCTTATGGCCTGTGACAGAACAGTTGGGGTTGATGGGGAATAATTTATAGTTGACTTTGTGAATGAAAGATTATTATTGTTACATGTAATTAATTTAATTATTAGCTACCAAATAAATCAGGTGTGCTGTTGGAATATAATTTCAAATGTATATGAAGCAGAAGCTCATAAATGAGTCCTGAGCGTGTGCTAATGGTATGTGTGATGCAGGGATATCTGTCCAATCCTGAAGGATCCAGCAGCTCTGACAGCTGTGACCGATCTGTTTGAAGAACATGTGAGGAAGAACCACCCGCAGGTGGATCTGATCGTGGGTGAGGAACCAAAGCAAAGCTTCTTTTCATTATAAACCAGTCTTATTTAGCCTTAAAGGAACTGCCTTTTTTTGTGACCAGAACAAGATGGGATCGGTCTAGGCAGATTGTAAAAATGTCCAATGTTTCATGGAATTAATTTGTGTTTTTACTTTGGGTCAGGGCAAGACTTCCATATAAACAAATTAGATCTTTAGAATGTAAACACTTTGATGTGGGTTGTATTCATTTTCCATACATTATATCCGGCCCTAACTTGTCCTCCTGTGTCTGAGTGCAGGTTTGGATGCTCGTGGTTTCCTGTTTGGTCCTCTGCTGGCTCAGAGGCTAGGTGTTGGATTTGTCCTAGTCAGAAAGATCGGCAAACTGCCCGGGAGCACTGTGTCTGTGGCGTATGATCTGGAGTATGGAAAGGTAAAGAACACACACACACACACACACACACAGGATTTGGTTTTTGTTTTGCAGTTTTTACATTGTGGATAGAATGGCAATTAGGGAATACAGGAATGTAGAGATTAATATATGAATTGATAAATATCTTAACACTAAAGCCACACATAACTCTATATCCCTCTCTATTCCTACACATGTTCATTCTCCACTGACTGCTTCGTCATCACATCACCACTCCCAGCTGTTGCTACAACTCGCCATCACAGCCTCCTGGGCTTCAAATGACATAATACAAGTCAGAGCTACAAACCACTTTCTCATGCTTCTGTAACATGGCCGCAAAACAATTAACATCTGGGAGGATAACAGGCTAGTGTGTCTTGCAGTGTTGGGGAGATACTTTTGTGCTTAGTAACTGTAATGTGATTACTTCTGTTATCAACAACTCCTGTAACGGTAATGCAGGAGTTGTTGATAACAGCAGTAATCACATTACAGTTACTAAGCACAAAATGATTTCGTTACTTGCGTGACTTTAAGCCCTTCATCTATCTGCATAACGTAAGGACAGAAAAATAAATCAAACTTCCTTCCTGTGCGTGCTTGCGCTACACTACACACGGAGAAGGAGACAGAGCAGCAATGGGTTAGACGTCTCCTGAGGGGTGGAGAAATGCACACTATTTCAAATTTTGTTTTGCAAAAGGACAAAAATGTGACAGTGATGTGTGAACTGTGCAGTCAGAAAAAAATTTCTACCGCTACGATAACAACATCTAATCTTCCATAGAGAGACTCCTTCTCATGAGGTATAACCACTTCTTTGATAAGCATGTCCAGTAAGATGGATACATCTAAGGTAACGCCTTAGTTTTGCTGAAAGAGCTACAGAGAGTTTTTAAAGTGGGTTTGTTCTGTTAAACGCACTGTTCAAATTACATTTATAGACAATGCTCTTTTCTTCGAAGTCTCATCACTGTCTGATATTGTGATGAGGGCCAAAGGGTCTGGTTGGAAAAAGGTCATGACTTCAGGCAGGAAATGTGTAATCTGATGAACAGCAAGAGTGTCCTCCTCCTGCAGGCAGAGGTGGAGGTCCAGGAGGACGGCGTGGCTCCAGGACAGAAGGTTCTTCTGATTGATGACCTTTTGGCCACTGGAGGTGAGGAATCCATTGTTACGTCAGCTTTAAATGCATCATGTTAATCATGGCCATCACTCACAATTGATAAATGAAAACACGTTTTACCCAGTAGGCTCTTATCAAAGTGAGCAAGACTTCTGATAAATACTCCTCAAAATGCAAAAAAACCCACGTTTAAACCTATAATAAAATAATCAATTAAAAACACCTTTAAATTATTAATAAACTCAACAACAACAAAAAAAGCCTTAATCAGGCTTTAGGAGATTTAAATGTTAAATACATTTGCATTTTTTAGCTTGAATCCAAACAGTTTTCCAACTTGTTAGTGACTCTTATGCCCCACTGTGGGAGCCATCTTGTATTTGAAAGTGATGTTCATGTGTGTGTTGTAGGGACATTGTGCGCAGCCTGTGAGCTGATGAAGAAGCAGCAGGCTGATATTCTGGGATGCATGGTGGTCATCGAGCTCAAGGAGCTGAACGGCATCGACAAACTGAAACCACACCAGGTGTTCTCCCTGCTGCAGTACTGAGGAGTGCTGCAGACAGACCTGGGATCAGGCCAAGCTCTTTACTGAAATGAACACGGCTGCACAAAGAAAGTTAACATGTTGTCTTTGTAATAAAAGACAGGTACTTCCAGTGTCTCCATCAGCAAACAGGAAAGCTCTTCATCTTAAAATTCACATTTTTTGTCATTTCAATCACATACTGTTTTGCAATTCCAGTAAGCACTTAAATATATATATTTTTAAATGGTCATTTATTCACACATCTGTTAATGCTTTATTGCATACATTTTTAACCATTTATTTGACAGGATTCAAAGGGTCTTAACATCTGTACTCAGTGATAAGTATTTTGAAGATATCCAAACATGGCCTTCTTTCAATGTTTTCAATCGTAGTACCTGTGACCACTGTTCTCCTTACTAATGCAGCTGTCCTGTGATAAGCATGTCATTTTAATGTTCACAACCTTTGTCCTTAATGTATCACTTTTATCACACACATGGTAATGTAAGAAGTCTATAATGATACCATTTATCTGACTGATATTTTTGCATTTATAAAAGCTAGAAACTAATTGATCAACTACCACATTTGTATATTTGTTTTCTTCCAAATGAGAAGTTGTAATAGTCAGCCATCAGATGTGTCCTTGCTCTATTCAATGCAAGCAGGGGTTTTCCTGCTACTGTCTAACTTGAGGTTTTCCAGAAGCTTATGTTGGCTAATGTGAGCAATGAATCATCTCTACCTCACATTGCAGCGTTCACTATACAGGGTTCCTACGGTCATTAAAAACCTGGAAAAGTCATGGAAATTCAAAATGCTAATTCCAGGCCCTGGAAAAGTTAAGGAAAACAATATTTTTCCCAGTTTTGGAGAAGTCATGGAAGTGTAACCAAAGTTGCATCAAATATAATTTATATTTTATCTAATCGCCGAAATAGTAATACTATAACGATAATAAATACTGTATGGTATAGTAATGAAACGTAAAATGGCATTTAACTGTCAAGGTATTTTGCAATCACGTTAGTAAGCCTACTATTTGATTTATTTTAGATAGGAACAACATGTTTCATATGCAGAGCTTATTTTCCAGCTTACCATGTTAAAATACAAATGTTTCAGTGGTACCGCTGAAAAAGTAATTTTTTTGGTCATGGAAAATTAGGTAAAGGTCATGGAGAAGTCATTGGTGAAAAAGTGTATGAACCCTGACTATAGTAAATGAAATAAGTTGTGCTCTTAAATTATTTCCTAATACTTTATATAATTATACCGTCTCTACAGAGAAGAGACTATTATTTTATTTGTGAGTGTACTTTTTTTAAGAACCATGAATATAGATACTAAAATGTATGGAAATATGTTATTATATTCACTATACTATAAGACATACAATGCCAACCACATTACAACAAAAACACATTTAATACTTTAACAACCTATTTGTAGGTTACTTGTGTTACCCTGGTTTTCAGAGTAGCATGAGTGAGGTGTCACTAGGGGATGGACCTCCCTTCATACTCAGAAGCATCAATCTCATTCACGTGATGTATCATCTTGAATCATTTAGCATATATGTTTATACTAACCCTGAGGTGTAAAGCTTGGTGAGGAACAAGTCTGCTGCTATACAAATGTATCAAAGCTTTATGGATCAGCAATGCCTTCCAGCTGCTTTGACCTTTTAGCAAGCTGTTTCATTCATTCTCATCTTTACTACTAGAGAAATATTGTTAAAGAAAGATCAGGAGACACAAATACAACCGCAGAAAGTCTCAATTTATTCACTTCAAGTTTAGATCAGCTTATGTGCACTTATCTAGGTGAGACACATGTTGTTTAATGTATCAAGGAGAACAAAGATATGTCTGAACGCATCTCCCTAATGATTAGGATTTTCTTTAGAGGTAGCATGAGCATTTTATACCAGTGGTAATATAATTTAAAAAAAGTCGCCGTCGCTTTATGATTGTCATGTTTAATTAACTGAATTCACAGAAAACAGGCATCGGGATTCTGACAAATTTGCATTTGGTAAACAATGACTTATAAAACTGTAAGCTTTCATCAGTTCTACATTGTAGAAAAAGTCTGGAACAGCAACAACAGTTTCATGGATGAAACAAAACAAAGCACATCTTCATATCCTTTAACAGAACTGTGGTTAAAACAACCTTTTCTTTTAAAACACACGGGGGGGGGGGGGGTAATTAGGTCTGATCGATCCCACATGGTCTCTGGATTTCGGGACATACCTTCAACCTGGAGCTGAGAGAAGAAGACTCAGAGCCTACAGCACACCTGTCTGTACAACATGTCAGACGTGCCTTCTGTTCACAAAACAGTGTTATTCAGTGAAGCCCTTTAGACGGGAGCTAGCCTTCAGTTTACAGGTCCTATAGTAAGGACCTGAGAAAGGTGGGGGGGTCACTGAGGTCATTGTTCTGTCAGTCCTCTCAGGTCCTCTCCTCCTCTCGCAGTGTGCTGCTCAGTTGGTCCAGGACGATGTTGAGCTCCATGTTCTTGTTCAATTTCAGGTAAAAGTCCTTCCTGATTGGATGAATTTTCAGCCATTCACCGGCCACTTCTGCCAGCAGACGGATGTGCTTCTCCATCTCACCTGTTCATTAGAGAGGAACAGCCAATCAGTAACAGTTGTTTAAAAATGATACAATAAGAACACGCTTCATATCACAAGATAATGGTGAATGCTACAGTAAAACGCTGCTTATCCACCCCTTTTAATTCATAAGATGCATAAACAATGTATGCAGGATGGTTCTCAGCTTCTCCCACAAGTAGTGATGTGGATTCATCTCTGGTGGCTCCGTTCATTACAAAGCCATTCACATTTTTTGTCATGCACAAACAGAAGAATGTGCAGAATAAGTTGGTAATTTTAAAACAACGGGGGCACTTCCTGTTTGAACCTGGCACGGAGGATCTGCACAGTATGAGATGTTGTCACAAAGACAAAAACATGACCTCTCTAGAAGTCAATGCAGTTAATTCTTACAAAAAGCCACTGAAAATAATCGTTGTGAGCTTAATGTCACTACCAACCTGAGCTGAGGGCAGATCTGAAGCTGGCCACCATCTTGTTACAGGCCACCTCCATTATTAAAGCTGGTTTCTTCTCTGCCACAAAAACGTTCCGGAGAATCCTGGCCAGCTCGGGGAGCCGTGAGATCATCAGCAGGCGTCCCTCCTGGACGGGGTTTCTCGTCATGGCTGCCTGGAGCTTCTGGGCCTCCTTCGCCCGAATCTGCAACACCAACAGAGCACCCAAATCAATATGAAGATAACAAGATACATTATCTAACGGGGCAAAACTAGGTGTGTCCCCATAAAGCACTGCCCACCCCAGCACCAATGTTTCCCTCCTGGAACACCTACCCTCTCCAGCAGGGACTGGGACACTCCTTTCAGGGCCGTTGGGGCCTGATTTTCTAATGGAGCTGGGGGTGGGGGGGTTGTTGGGTTCTGTGGAGGTGTGGGCTCTTTAGTCTCTTCAGTCTTCAGAGCCAGAGCAGCCAGAGCCTTCTCCATCTGAACGCAGGAAGAGAGGACATTTCCATTTAGTTTTGACAGAACAATGCTCAGTGAATGCAATCAAAACACTGATAGTGAAATATACAGTTTCTTTATCAAATAACACTTAGTACTTCAACACCGTTACCCAATGATTATAATTAAATTGATAGTTTTAGCACATGCAGTACCTTGGGTGTGATGAAGGAGCGGGCCCTGTCCAGCACCTCCTGAGCGGTGGACAGTTTCTCGGTGTGGGGGGGCTGGGGAAGCAGGCTGGTGGAGATGACTGGGACAGTGTCCACATTGAAGCGGGGGTGCCAGCGGGTCAGTTTGTCCTCTGGAACAGTCACCACAGGAACCAAAGTGGAAAGAAACACCTGCAGAAACAGAGGTCAATCTTTCATTCAGGACCAAAATATATTTTCTGATTGTTACTGTAGAAAACAATCCCAGATCTTAACACAAAATCTATTCTAAAACTTGGGACTTGGCCGTTGTTGAAACTCCTCAACATTGGCCTAAAGCAAAAACGAGTGGTGCAGGGATGACGTATGGAGACAACAGTAAGCATTGCAAGGGCTCCGTTTACAAAAAGGAATGGGATTTTTTCAATTGGAATTTGAATTATTGAAGAAAATAACATTTGTAGCAAAGACACACATTTTTGCCACAGGATCATTTCTACATATTAACACCACTTTTTAAATTGTTGAAGCATAAATACAATCACTAGAAGTAAAAAGCTAACGTTAGGCTATAATGAAACTACAGCACAGAAACACGAGTTAAAGTAACCACCGCTAAGCTAAAGGCGGCTAATGTTGGGCGTGATGACGTTTATTAGTCTAATTTAGTCACTTGTCGGCCAACTGCCGTTTTAAAAAGATACGTAAAACCTTCAGACATTCACCAGTGAGGTATTTACTGATTTATTGGATGTTGTAGAACAAATCGTGAAAATATGGTAAGCGCATTTTAACCACAGACCTTATTTTTGGCATCTAACAAAAAACACATTAAAAAAACACATCGACAGGCCGACCGGTGCTCAAATGCTGACTCATTTCCGGGTTGTAGGACTCATTCCTGCACCACTCTATTGTGACGCTTACTATTAGAAATAGTACTGAAGCAGCTGCTGACCTTGTGGTGCTGTTTGACGACAGAGACCAGACTGTGGTGGAAGATTTGTCTCCTCTCCAGGAGGTGAGTGGCCGAGAGGAAAGGACGAGGTTCATTCTGGTCTGAGGAGGACACAGCACACAGGTTAGTGCATGAACACAAGGTAAAGTACACATTATCATGGACACTAAGAAAAGGGGACATGTAATCAGGCCCACAGTTTAAATAACTTCATTAAATGGTGTGCTGATCCAAGTTGTATTAGCTAGAAAACGTTAAGAAAAGTGTTTACCGGAGGGGACGACGGGCTCCACAGTGAGCTGGTAGCTGCCCTTCTTAATGCCGCTGGTGAAGGTGGGGATGTTCTTCTCCTGTCTGAAGGTGTAGGCCTCAGGAAACACCATCTTTATCTGACCAACGTGGCTCTCCTCAAAGCGCCTGCGGGGGTAAAAAAAACAAAAACATTATCTTCTGCAGCCTGACCCTACATCCAGGATGTTGTCAAATCCCAGAGCTTTTTGAAAATCTAATTGTTGGTCAAAGATGTCCCATGTGGTGATGAATGAATATTACAAAAGGGGTGCTAAAGGTAGTTTAAACAGACATGACAACAGCATCTCTACTGGACATAGTTGAGGTACAGCGGATGTGCTGCAAGTTCCCTCTTCCAGTTGTAAGAATTGTTTTAAGGAGTCACTTAAAAAGTCTTCAACAATGTGTTTTTTCACAACAGCTTTCTAATTCTCTAAAGAAATGTCAGTGAAAGACACTCTTTTGCAAATTCGAACCAGGAAACAATACTACTTAAATGATAACTCTTTTTTGTGCATGTAAATTGTCTGCAAAGGCTAAAATCCCTGTGTTCCCTGGCTGAAACTCCTCCTTTGTTTAGACAAATAAAGAGCTTTCTGAACATTAAAGCATGGAGACATGTCACAGTAGAGGCAATGCATGCTAATATGAACATAGTATGTGCCCAAAATCACTCAACATTCCTCAATCTGTCCACCTACTTGTGCATCATGTCTTGGACTCCTTGTTTGAGCTTGGTGAAGGTGGTGGTCTCACAGCGGTTGTACAGCATGGCCACCACAGTGTCCATGCTCCTGAACATCTCAGCCAGCACCTTGTACTGGTACGGCAGGGACAATCCCGGGGGGGCGGCCTGGGTGAGGTTGTGGTACCGCTGGTAGGCCGGCTGCTCAGTACTGAGGGACAACAGGAGAGGGGGGAACAGTTAGTGGAAATGTAGTGTTCAAGCTGCACTCTACAGATTTGTCTGAGGGTATGCTTCACTTTGCTCACCTGTCCTGGGATGGGGTTTCACTCAGGCTCCTCTTCTTGGCCTCTCGCTCCGCTTTCCTCTGCTGAGCTTTAACAGCTAGCTCTTTAGCCTGTGCTACAGTTGACTTGAGGGTCTTAGCATCAGAAATGGCAGGGGTGGGGGTGCTGTTGAGAGCTGAAGCAGCTGGAGAGGATGGTGTGGGGGCTGAAGCAGGGCTGGGGATTCTCTCTGCATGTTTCTTGATCCTCTGAAGGCGAGACTTGAGGGCTGCAAGGTCCTCTTTACCCAGAGCCTGACAGAGAGAGGGGTTATCATGGGGATCAATTCAGGACTTTCAAAAAGGGAAATGTGACAATATTGTTTTGGTCTTGTTTTTAACCAATCCGACGTACAGAGCAAAACCAACATTGAATGTATGTATCCTACTAATGAAAGAGTGTGTGTGTGTGTGTGTGTGTGTGTGTGTGTGTGTGTGTGTGTGTCTAAAGACCCATGTATCTACAGTACAGTGCTACATATGCTGTTCATGATTTCACCACATCCTTACAAAGTCATCTAAAGTTTATTTAAAAATAATTCCAAGAAATACTGCCATGCTGCCCAGAACAGAACAACACTGTAGATATCATTTGATATGTTGACTTTACACAGCCATGCCCAACACAACAATATCATGCATGAGCTGATAACAGTTAGGTTTCTTCATTCCCCACACAGGGTTGGGTTGAACTTAGAAATGTGTATTTATTTAGTTTGCGAAAACATATTAAATAATGATGGACACAAACTGCCCAGATAAAGTGTGGTGACTGGTGAAGCAGTCAGATTATCGAAGCACAATGCGTTACCTTAGAAGCCCGTCCTTCAGTCTTCCTGCTGGGGACTGGACTCCTCTGTGGGGGGGTCTGGAGGTTAAGGTGTTTCTCATTGTGTCCAGACGAAGAGGCTGCAGGAGCTGAGAGGGGGGTCTCCTCTCTGGGCTGAGAAGCAGCCTGCACACACAAACACCAACACTCAATACCTGCCATTCAGTACAATCGGGCAAAGGGTTCCGATTCTTCAGATGAGTGAAACAAAGATATCAAACGTTTACATTATAAGTACTGCATCAAGAATGGTACCAAGTGAAAGGTATTAAAATGGGGAGTAAAGGTACTCATTGCAACAACCACACAACTCTTCACATTTAAGAAGCTGGAAGTGTCTTTCAACTACTAAATATTTTTCTGTTAAACCACTCATGGTTTTAGTTATTGATTACAATCTCGGATGGTTAATTAAATCTATCCCAAATGATCATATTTTAAAACTTTTTTAGTATTAGTGTCTAGTTATGCATTGTGTTTCAAAATTAATTAGTAAATATAAATCTGTAAAATAAATGTAGTGGGTTAAAAAATACAAAAGTTGCTTCCAGAATGTAGTGGTGTAGAAGTATAAAGTAGTATAAAATACAAATACTCGTGTAAAGTACAACTACATTAAATGTTACTTTACACCAGTGGGTTACAATAAGGCTGTTTATTTGCCTTTTTAAAGCACATTAAGATGTGTTGTTTACATGTCCCATGGAGGAGTCAGAAGCCTAGCATTACCTGAGGCGAGTCTTGCGGGAGGACTAGTTTCTTCCTGGCCTTCCTTTTCGGAGCTTTCTGGACCGCAGCTTTAGCCTCTCTACCGGCCTCCGCATGCCGTCTCTTCTTCGCCGTGCTGTGGTCGGCGGTGGCTGAGAACAGCGCAGACCCGAGGTCAAACTCTGTGTCGGCCGAGGTCCGCTTCGGTGTCCGGGGGCTGGAGGGGGAATACTTCGCGGGGTTACCGACACACGATCCGGGGTCTAGTTCCGCTGCCTCATCGATCATTCGGACAAACTCTTCATGGACGGAGGAGGACAGACGTAAATCTCCTTTGTTTTGTAATGACCTGGTCCTGGGGACATTGGAGGTGACCCCAGCAGAGCCACGGCCGACAGCGGTGCTCCTGCTCGGCTTGCCTGCTTTCACTGGCTCGGCGATGCCTTTCTTTCTCTGGGAGAAGAAATCGGTAACTCTAGCCTGAGACATGTTGCTGCTGCTCGGGGCAGACACCGGGACCGCGGAGTGATGAAGGTGCAGGTCGCTACAATAACCTGAAGTCGGTGTGGTATAAATACTGAGCACCCACAATAGATCTCCGGAAACGCTTAACTTCGCAGGAAGAAGAAAGAAAATTCGCGCGAAATTAACTAAGCCGCGCCTCTTCCGCCCCACGTCCTAGGAAAATAAAGGATGGATGGGGCAGCCTTTTAAAGTTACACGATATTTTAAACGTGTTGTTGTTTTGTACACATAATGTTACCAGTACACATATCTTTATTCATACTTTGATTATTATTTTTTATAACAAATGTATGTATGACGACTTTGACTGATCCTTATCATATTATCCAAGTGTTACAAAGCCCAGCTAAATGGATTAAAAAGTAATATAGCCTACATACGAATTTATTAGGAGAAAATGGGAAAATAACAAACGTTTCCACTTCTGAAAAATACATGTTTCTGTTAATGTATTTTCATTTCACAAAATGTCATTACAGTTCTTAAAAGCTTTACATTTGATTTAATTTTATTTTAAGTATCTCAAAACTGAGTTCTCAAAAGTTTAAGAACCTGATCAATCATTTGGCATCACATGTAATGATCAATGGCTGACACTTGAAATGTAATGTAATGTAATGTATAGGTGTCTCCATTGGTAACAAGATATCAACAAGCTATTGTCTGTTTGTTATTTGCCCTTTATTATATTAATTCAAATACAACAATCCAATTTATTCAACTGTTGAGTGACGCATGTCTGGTATGTTATTTGCAAATCAAATGTCCATTGCAACCAAGTAAAGTAAAGCCTACATAATATATTTTACTTTAGAAGCAAATTATAGAAGAATAAACCTAGATTATGAAACTTCCATATAGTTTAACTTCCCAATCATAACATTCACTAGTTTGATTTAACCAGATTGCCATGTAGCCACAACACTCATTAACATAGCAATATCCCCATTCTACTGAGGTTTTTAGATTTGAGTACTCAGTATTAATCCTCTCTTGATCTACATGCACATACTTTTGACATATTCTCAGGGTCCCTTAAATCATGAAGCCCTCTTTGTGCTTCACAAAAGCCTCTTAATTACACCATAATCAAGAGTGAGTAACAAGATTAAGTCTTTAACACTTAAAGTAACTAGCTTACTCCACTGATCACTATGAAAGGCTTAATGGACATGTCAGAAATAAAATAAGTAATTTATCTTCTTACTTATTCAATACAACTCATGGTTGAGTATTTGTTCCACTATTGTATCACTGCTTAAAAATCCTGATGGTTTTAATAAGGGCAGTGGTTCCCACATGGTGGTTATGACTGGGACAATAAGTCAGGCCGGGAATTATACACCCAGCCAGGACACAACCAGTTTTCTTTTGTGCCATTTTGCTGGATTTATTTGTGAATATTTACAGCGGTGCTACCCATAGTGATAGCCCTATACCTATAGTTTAAATCTACCCAAT